GTTTGAGTCCTGGCTGCTCCACCTCCGATCCAACACTCTGTTAATTAGTCTAGGAAAGCAATGGGAAATGTCTGAACCCCAGCCATCCTGGTGGAAGACCAGGATGAAGTTCCAGGCTCCCGGCTGTGACATGGCCCACCTCCAGCCCTCCTGGACATTTGGGGAGAGAACCAGCAGATGGAAGATACTCATTCTCTTTCTTCTCCTCTCTGTAACTCTACCTTTCAAACAAATAAATCCTTAAAAATAGATAAACAGGGGACCACATTGAGGTATAGCAGGTTAAGCTTCCCATATGGATGCCAGTATGAGTTTTAGCTGCTCCACTTCCAATCCAGCCCCCTGTAAATGCACCTGAGAATGCATCAAAGGATGGTCCAAGTGTTTGGGCCCCTACAGTCACGTGGGAGACCTGGATAAAGTTCCTGGCCCCTGACTTGGGTCTGGCTCAGGCCTCACCCTGACTTTTGGGGCCATTTGGGAAGTGAACAGTGGAAATCAAAGTAATTCCAGAGCCAGCATTGTGGCGCAGCAGTTAAGCAGCTGCCTGCAACACTGGAATCCCAGATGGGTACCAGTTCAAGTCTTGCCTGCTCCATTTCCAATCCAGCTCCCTGCTAATGTGCCTGGGAGAGTAGTGGAAAATGGCCCAAGCCCTTGGGCCCCTGCACCCACATAGGACACCTGGACGAAGCTCCTGACTTCATTCTGGTCCAGCCCCAGCTGTTGTGGTCATTTTAGAAAGTGAATCAGCATCAATCTCTCTCTGTAGCTCCCACTCTTTCTCTGTAACTTTATCTTTCAAACAAGTAAGAAAAGAAAAGAAAAGAAAAGAAAAGAAAAGAAAAGAAAAGAAAAGAAAAGAAAAGAAAAGAAAAGAAAAGAAAAGAAAAGAAAAGAAAAGAAAAGAAAAGAAAAGAAAAGAAAAGAAAAGAAAAAGAAGAAAGAAAGAAAGAAAGAAAGAAAGAAAGAAAGAAAGAAAGAAAGAAAGGAAGAAAGAAAGAAAGAAGAAGAAAGAAGAAGAAGAAGAAGAAGAAGAAGAAGAAGAAGAAGAAGAAGAAGAAGAAGAAGAAAGAAAGAAAGAAAGAAAGAAAGAAAGAAAGAAAGAAATTCCAAGAAGCATATTTTAACTAGAATAGCCTGGTCAAAAACAATTACGCATGTAACATTGGGCTTAATTAACTGTGACTGCCTGCCAGGGAGGCAAAGGAAACTACTGGCCAGTGAAGCCAGACTATTCATTTTGTTACCATCTCTTTTCTGTCCCAAAGTGTAGAAACAAGGAGTACCTCAGCAAGTTTGCTTACCTTCTCTCTAGCTTTAGTGTGACAATGGTAAATCTGAAATTTTCTTCACAAAAATGTGTTTTTGACTATACATAACAGTAAACAATTTGAGCTCTGAGAAGACAGAATTGTTCTTTTTTATTATGTAACATGTGACAACCTATCATAGAATACCTTGAATCTTTTAACAGGACCTTCAATTTAATCTCAGAATTAAGTCAGCATCTTTCAGAGTTAAATAAGCCAAATTCAACATTTTGTACACAAAATACAATATGACTTATTTGGTAGCTGAGTACCTTTGAATAGTCAATATTTATAAAGTTCCAAACAGCACTCTTAAGTTTCCAGAAAGCAAAAACTACGAAATTACTGTAGACAGCACACTACAACAACTACTCTCTCCAAAGAGACTGCTGTATTCTTAGAAAAACATAACAATTCACAACATACTCCTCTAGAAACTTCACCCAAGTCACAAAATATATTTGTTTTAAGTATCACTCAAACTAATTCTTTCTCCTCAGAACACAGAGCAAACATTCTGGAAAAGTTACAGAAAAAAATATGCATACAAAGGGTAATTTAATTGAACTTAATTTCCTGCAATTCATGCAACACATATTACAGGACATTCTTTGTACAACAATTGAGTTTCTTAACATATATTACCAAATTTCTTAACATATATTACCAATATGCTATTTCATAATACCTTTAAGAGAATTTTTTTTTTTCAACTGAATTGAAAGAGGCAAAAAGAGACAAAGACAGAGTCTCCCACAGATGGATTTAGTCTAATCCTATTCACAACAACTGGAGCTGGGACAGTCTGAACTGAGAAGTCCAGAACTCAAACCATGCCTCTCCTTCTTATGGCACAGATACAACCACTTACACGATCACCTGCTGCCTCCCAAGGTGCACATTAGCAGCTGGGAGTCAATTCCAGGCATGCAGATATGAATCATGGGTGTCCCAAGCAATATTTATGACCCACTTAGCCTTTTTCAAACTTAAAATAACTCCTGGTTGGGCACTGTGTATCAGTGAAGATTCAGCTTTGGGGGCCTGAGCTGTGGTGCAACGGGCTAAACCCCTGGACTGCAGCTCCAGCATCCCCTATGGGCACAGGTTTAAGTCCAAGCGGCTCCACATCTGATACAGCTTCCTGCTTGGGCCCCTGCACCCACATGGGAGACCCAAAAGAAGCTCCTGGCTTCGGCCTGGCACAGTTTCGGTCTTTACAGCTATTTCAGGACTCTCTATCTCTACCTCTCTTTGTAACTTTGCCTTTCAAATAAAATCTTTTTAAAAAAAAAATTTTATTTATTTATTTGAAAGCAAAGGTACAGAGAGGCAGAGAGAGAGAGGTCTTCCATCCGCCAGTTCACTCCTCAGATGGCCGCAATGGCCGGAGCTGTGCCAATCCGAATCCAGGTCTCTCAGGAGCTGCAGGGCCCAAGCACTTGGGCCATCTTCTACTGCTTTCACAGGCCATGGCAGATAGCTTGATCAGAAATGGAGCAGCCAGGACTCAAAGGGGTGGCCATTTGAGATGCCAGCACTGTAGTTGGTGCTTTTACTCACTAAGCCACAGTACCAGCATCTCACATAAAATAAATCTTAAAAAAAAAAAAAAAAAAAAAAAAAAAAAAAAAGCATGGCCAGCGCCGTGGCTCACTAGTCTAATCCTCCGCCTGCAGCACCGGTACCCCCGGTTCTAGTCCCGGTTGGGGCGCCGGATTCTGTCCAGATCTCTGCTGTGGCCCAGAGTGGAGGATGGCCCAAGTGCTTGGGCCCTGCACCGGCATGGGAGACCAGGAGGAAGCACCTGGCTCGCCAGCCACAGCGGCCATTGAGGGGTGAACCAACGGAAAAGGAAGACCTTTCTCTCTGTCTCTCTCCCTCTTACTGTCTATCTCTGCCTGTCAAAAAAAAAAAAAAAAAAAAAGAGCAGCTTTGGGGGCAGGCAGCTGCACATCAGTTCTGGCACCACATCCCATATCCAACGCCTGGGTTATATTCCTGGCTCCAGTTCCAACCCAGTTTCCTGTTAATGTGCACCCCAGGAGACAGCAAGTGATACTAAGTACAGTATGAGGGCCCTTGCCATGCAGCTGGGAGATCCAGACTGAGTACCAGCCTTCTGGATTTGGCCAAGCCCAGCCATGACTGTCGCAGGCATCTGGAGAGTAAACCAGTAGATCTAAGAACTCTCTCTCTCTCTCTCTCTCTCACACACACACACACACACACACACAAATTTAAAAACATTTTTTAAAATAATAAACACATTACAGGGAAACATTTCTTAATAAGAAGACTAGGAAAGGAAGGAGAAGGGAAAGAAGGGGAGGGAAGGAAAGGGGAGGAGGAAGGAGCCACTGCTTGGGATACTCAGGTCTCAGATCAGAGTTTCTGAGCTCGAGCCCCAGCTCCACTTCTGACTCCACCTTCCTACTGATGTGCATCCTGAGAGGTAGCAGTCACTGTCCAAGTACTAGGTTCCCTGTCACTCACATGGGAGACCCAGTCTGGCCAACGCAGGCATTTGGGAAGTGAAGCGACAGAATGAAGATTTCTCTGTCTTCCAAATGAAAAGTGGAAATTAAAAGGTAACATATTATTTATAAATGGCCAAAGCACTTACACAAACATGTCATGAAAGTGGACATACAAAGTCAACAAGTTCATGATAAAATCTCTAGCATTGCTCACCATTGGAGAAATGCAAATCAAAACCACAATGAGATACTCACCTAACACCTGTCAGAGTTTAGTGATGACAGGAATACAGAGAAAGTGAACCCCTAAATACTGTTGATAGAAATGTAAATTAGTTACAGCTACTAAAAATAGGGGCAGAGAGCTCACTTAACAGTTCAAACACCCACATGCCACATCAGAGTGCCAGATTCAAATCCTCATTCCACACAATCCAGCTTCCTACTACTACTCACCCTGAGAAGTGGCAGATAATGGCTCCAACTACTGGGGTCCCTGCCACCAACATGGGAAACGGGAAACCTGAACTGACTTCTGGCTTTGGTATGGTTCAGCCCTGGGAGCTGCAGGCACGTGGGAAATAAACTAGCAATAGAAGATTCTCCCTATCCATGTCTGTGCCTTTCAAATAAATTTTAAAAATTCTTGGCTGGCACCGCGGCTCAATAGGCTAATCCTCTACCTGCGGCACCAGCAAACCGGGTTCTAATCCCGGTCGGGGCCCCGGATTCTGTCCCGGTTGCTCCTCGTCCAGTCCAGCTCTCTGCTGTGGCCCAGGAGTGCAGTGGAGGAAGGTCCAAGTCCTTAGGCCCTGCACCCGCATGGGAGACCAGGAGAAGCACCTGGCTCCTGGCTTCGGATAAGTGCAGTGCACCGGCCACAGTGGCCATTGAGGGGTGAACCAATGGAAAAGGAAGACCTTTCTCTCTCTTTTCTGTCTGTCTACTCTGCATGTCCAAAAAAAAAGAAAAAAAAATTCTTAAACTGAGTCAGGGCTTACTCAGCTCATCTGAAAAGCATCAACAGTTTCTTCAAAATTATATAATCAAAGAGTTCATTCACAGGAATTCACAAATGAATCATAAGACTTTAGAAGACCAGTCATTTTTTGGAGGACACTGCCACCCCTTGTCAGATCAGAGCATAGGAAAGCAATAGCCTGCCTTCTTCCATCTGATCACACTCTTCCTTCCCTCTTGTTCTTACCTCTACCACGTGCTCGCTTGCCACGGTCTGAAGGTTTGTCCCCTTGATTGCAATCAATTCCATTCTCTTCACCTCTAACTAGGAAAAGAAAAAGAGCAGAAAAATCTACTTTTCTTTCTAAACCTCCTGTACATAACCTTACCAGACACTTAATGGACCCAAGGACAAAATGAAAAATAGCCTAAAAAGAAGGCAAAAATTTCATCAAGGAACTCACATTAATGTAACAGGATAATAAAAAAAAAAAAAAGGTAACTCAGGCCGGCGCCGCAGCTCACTACGCTAATCCTCCACCTTGCAGCGCTGGCACACCGGGTTCTAGTCCTGCTCGGGGCGCCGGATTCTGTCCTGGTTGCCCCTCGTCCAGGCCAGCTCTCTGCTGTGGCCAGGGAGTGTAGTGGAGGATGGCCCAAGTCCTTGGGCCCTGCAACCCATGGGAGACCAGGATAAGTACCTGGCTCCTGCCATCGGATCAGCGTGGTGCGGCGGCTGCGGCGGCCATTGGAGGGTGAACCAACGGCAAAGGAAGACCTTTCTCTCTGTCTCTCTCTCTCACTGTCCACTCTGCCTGTCTCACACACACACACACACACACACACACACACAAAGATAACTCTCAAACACTGAATGACAGTACATCTTCCTTAACTCACAGGTCAAAATTCTGAAAAGAAATTTAGATACCAGACTGATTTTTCTCTCATCTATATGGACTTGTGCTTCCCTAATATAAATTTGCTTAGAAAACCACTTTCATCATCCAACTAAGTAATCCACCACCAAACTTGCTCATTAGTTACAATGAAAGCCCAAAAAGGTTCAGAATAGCAAAACAGCAATACCGTGAAATATGGAGTCAACAGTTTTATTGCACAGGTTGTTCTACTTTGCTTTCTCGAAGATGCCGAGAGTCGAATTTCCTTTTCCTCATCTCTAAACTGGCCCTAATAACTCTACAATACAGAGATTTCATGAGACCTATTGGCATGCTTGCTCCACGCATCACTTTAAGGGCTTACAAAATTCCTTCTCAGATCTTCTCTGGCAATGCACTTTATTTTCCAAAATTGTCATCTCATTTTCTTTGTTCTTCAAAATTACTGTTTTTAATAGCTCCATTAAAATATTAACAAAATATTTTAGGGCCAGCATTGTGGTTTCGTGGATGAAGCCACCATCTATGATGCCAGCATCCCATAAAGGCACAGGTTCAAGTCCCAGTTGCCCCACTTTTGATCTAGCTGCCTCAAAATGCACCTTGGAAAGCAGCAGCACATGTCCCAAGCAGTTAGGCCCCTGCCTCAGATGTAGGAGATCTGGATGGAGTTCCAGGCTTCTACAGTCAGCCTGGCCAAGCCCTGGCTATTTGTGGCCATTTAGGGAGTGAACCAGCAAATAGAAGATCTTTCTCTGTCTCTAATTCTGCCTTTCAAATAAATATTTTTTTAATTTCATTTGTTGTTACATCCCATTTTACCTTAATGAAAGACAAGTTTTAAGAGGGCAAATATTTTTACCTGTTTTAGTCATTTGCTATATATTTGAGGGTGTACAATACATCAATGAAACAAATGAGCTACTGAAGTCTCTAAAGTGATTATGCTAAATTATGTCCCACTCATTCATAACTTAGCTACCTTGGTACATCTGCACAGTACACAGGATTGTTTTAGGTAAATGATGCCAAAACCTAACTCTGATAGAAAGTAATGAGAAAACTGCACTTACTCAACAACTTTCCTGTTAATCTAAATCTCACCTATACCATCCATATCAGCCAACGAAGAAAAAGTCTTTTGCTTTGTTTATTTGAAAGGCAGCATTAGAGAAAGAGGAAAATATAAAGATCTTCTATCCATTGTTTCATTCCCCAGATGGCCACAATAGCTGGGCTGGGCCACATCAAATCCAGGAGCTTCATCTGGGTATCCCATGAGGGTTCAGGGGCCCAAGGACTTTCCCAGGTGCATTAGCATTAAAAGTAGAGCAGCCAGGAATGAACTACCGCCCATTTGGGACACCTGTGTTGCAAGCAGTGGCTTAACCCACTACAGTACAACACCAGCAGGAAAAAACAGTTTCATACAGGGAGACATCATGGTACAGAATGCTGGGCTGCTGCTGTAGCTGCCTACATCCCATATCTGAGTACGAGCTTGAGTCCCTAGTACTCTACTCCTAATCTTGCTACCTGCTGATTCATGTGGAGGTAGCAAATGATGGTCCAAGTGCTTGGATCCCTGCTACCCTCATGGAAGACCCAGATGAGTTCCTGCCTCCAGCCTGGCCCAAGCCCTGGCTACTGTGGCCACTTGGGGAATAAACCAGCAGGTGTAGGATCTCTGTCTCTCTCTCACTCTCCCATTCAAAAATACTTAAAAAAAAAAAAAAAAAAAAGTTTCAACTAATATTGAATGACACTCTCAAACATGTAATGCAACTAACTAGCTGCTGCTCATTATTAGTTGTAATTATTAGGACAAATTTTGCATTAAAGAAATGGAAATGGACTCATGAGCATTCTTAGGACTAGCCTTTCAGCTGTTTGGAATAAATAAACAAAGCAAACTCACAACAGGATGAAGGGGAAGCCCGTACTTACACTCTCTGCCACGATTACCACCACGTCCTTTCCTGTTGGTGTTGCCACGTCCTCGACTCGGTTCTTTCTCATTTCTTTTCTCTCTATTTTCTTTGTTTTCTGAACTTTCTTTTCCTAAATTTTTCTTCTTCCCCCCTACAGTCTCCCAGGAAGTCTATCGAAGAGAAAAGGTATTAAGAGTAGTCAGTCATTCAAAGTGTGAACAATTTGAGCATGCATGCATCCTAATATCCTGTGACACGTAGCTAACTGGCTTTCTATTCTATACTAATTCTTTTCCATGTAGTTCTAAAACTGTATTTTTTAAGGTTTTATTTGATTATTTGAGAAGTAGAATTACAGAAAAAGAGAGGGAGAGACAGAGAGAAAGGTCTTCCATCTGCTGGTTCACTCCCCAAATGGCTGCAACGGCTGGAGCTGGACAGAACTGAAGGCAGGAGCTTCTTCTGGGTCTCCCAGGTGGGAGAAGGGGCCCAAGCACTTGGGCCACCTTCTGCTGCTTATCCGGGCCATAACGGAAATGTGGATCAGAAAAGGAGCAGCAAAGACTTGAACCGGTTCCCACATGGGATAGGCACCTACTATGCTACAACACCAGCCCCTCTGCTATTTTGTTGATAAAGGTGACTAATCTGCTAAACCCCTGCTGCTAGATAGAGCCAGTAATTAAATCCATTAGCTGACCTGGCAACATACGGTTTTCCCACTAGATAGCCACTTCCCAAGCTCCTGCTCTATACCACCCCACCTCAATCAGATGTAGACTTTCAAACTAGTAATAGATTATTTCAAACTTTAAAAAAAAAAAAAAAAACTATTTGTATTTCAAAGGCTACAAAACTATATAGAGGGCTGGCACTGTGGAGCAGAGGATTAAGCAGCCATCTGCAAAGTTGGGAGCCCACCTGAGTGTTAGTTCAAGTTCTGGTTGCTCCAATTCTGATCCAGCTCCTTGCTAATGTACCTGGGAAAGCAGCAGCCGATGGTCCAAGTGCTGAGGTCCCTGCACTCACATAGGAAACCCAGCTGAATCTCCTGCCTCTTAGCTTCAACCTGGCCCAGCCCTGGCCATTATAGCCAGGATTATAACCAGAGGATTGACTATTTCTTTCTCTTTCTTCTATAACTCTGCCTTTCAAATAAATAAATGAATCTTTTTAAAAAAAGAAAATTTCAACCTCCAAAAAATTATTCTATTGATTTATATGATCTCCCTTATCTTTCCTCCACCTGTGATAGCAAATATAATCATACACACACACACACATATTTATATGCGATGGTACTGAGAGAGTAAGACGTTACATTCTGAACAGAATATCAACCAGGGTATATATTAAGGTAAACCCCACTCCACTAGTTCCTAATTGCTTTTTCACAAGTGACTTAATCCCAAATAACATTAATAACTATTTTAAACTGAAAAATCTTGAGAAAATTATCAATACTCTATATTCAAATAAACACAAGCCTGGAAATTAATAAAATAAAATTCAAATGATAAGAGAATTATTTCCAAACAGTGAAAGCCAGCTTCATGTAATTTTTTTAAGGATTTGTTTATTTACTTGAAAGAGTTACACAGAGAGAGAATTAGAGGCAGAGAGAAAGAGAGAGAGAGGTATTCCATCTGCTGATTTTCTCCCCAATTGGCCACAACGACTGGAGCTGGGCTGATCCAAAGCCAGGAGCAAGGAGCTTCTTCCAGGTCTCCCACGTGGGTACAGGGCCCAAGGACTTGGGCATCTTCTACTGCTTTCCCAGGCCACAGCAGAGAGCTGGATTGGAAGAGGAGCAGCCGGGACTAGAACCAGCATCCAGATGGGATGCTGGCACTGCAGATGATGGCTTTACCCACTACACCACAGCACTGGCCCTGCTTCAGGTAATTTTTAAATGATATTTCTGTACATTTCTCTCATGAGCTCATAGATTTAATTAGATATAAAAAGACTGGAAGTGAAAATTATACAAGTTATTTTCCAACTCTAAGCTGTGATAAAGATTAAAGATGACACCTGATAGTGATGGTGTAACAATCAGGTATTCTCATACAATTCTGGTGAGCATGCACCTACCCTGACAATACTCAAATTTCAATTGATGTACACTTTTTGACAGCAATTCTACTGCTGGATCTTCCTATTAGAAAGATATAATTTGGTAATTATATGGAAATTTATGTACAGATGATCAACACACTAAGGCAGAAGATTCCAAAAGTAGTAAATCTATAAAGAGAGAAGTACGTAGTATGTAGTCATTTAAATAGTTACACTGGTGCTTACAAAAAGAGATTCTTCATAGAATTAAAGCAAATCCTTAGCAAATAGCATATGGAATTGGATTTTATTTTTCATTCAATTAGAAGCCTGAAGAAAATGTTAGAAGTAGCTATTGGGCTGGTGCTCTGGCATAGTGGGTGAAGCCACCACATGCGATGCCAGCATCCCATGTGGGCAGTGGTTTGGGTCTTGACTGCTCCACTTTCAATTCAGTTCCCTATTAATGTGCCTGGGAAAACAGCAGAGGATGGCCCAAGTCCTTGGGCACCTGCACCCATGTGGGAGACCCAGAAGAAGCTCCTGGCTCTAATTTTGACCTTCAAACAAATAAATAACTGTTAAAAAAATTAAACAAAAAAAGACATTATCACATACTTGCACAACTATCTGCAAAAGCATACACACAGGCTTTCAACATGAGCCAAATAATTATGGAAGATTACCAAAAGAACCTTCGGCAACATTCATCATTCCTATTTTAGTACTTACAGAATGGGTCTGAAGAAACTCTGAGACATATGTTAGTAATCAGGAAAGCAAGTTTCAAAGCCAGTTAGTTCACCCTTTCAGTTTTACCTTGAACTACCAACACAAACAACATACTAAAAATAAACAAGTAGGTTGATACAAGGGACTGACAACTCAAAACAATTTTCTCACCCAAACAAAACATGAAGATGAAGCCAGATGCTCAGCACTTAGGATCATATTCCCTATTTTGCTCTGTGATAACTACTGTTACAAGAGAAAAACAAACTCATCCTTAAAAATATTGTGGACAATTCCATGTTAACACCTTCCAACGCAGAAACTTTGTTCCAAAAGACGCTGGCGCACAGTAAGGTTAGCCAACAAGACAAGACAAGACAAGACAAGACGTGCTTGCCTTCACGGGTTTATGAAACACTCTTGCTCCTAGCAACCCTACAGTGTTTACATTCTGTCACCCTCACTCAAATTCACTGTACCTCAGTCAAGGAAATGGTTGTTACAGCTGGTTAGCCATGGCTGTTGTGGTCAACAGCCAGGTAAGAAACAGTACAATCAGAATTTTAAAATGTTACCAACAGAATGGTCCTGAACCAACCAGGATTTCACAAGGAATCTGCCTCTGTACCTCCATTCTGCCCACCTCTCTTAGGGCCCCCAGACTACTAACCTCTAATCTACTCTTCTACGACTGTATTCAGGCTCTCCTTTGCTGTTTTCTCCTCTTGGGAAAACAAAGTTTTGTTTGAAACTTTTGTTTGAAAACAAAAGTTCTGGCCACCATTATAAAATATCTATGTTCAAGGGGTAACCAAAGAAACGATTTTTATGTAACATTTCAGCATTATTCTCTAATACTTAGCCCACAACCATCTGCTTTGGATTCACTGAACATAGAAACTGAAACTGGAAACCCTGACAAGGAGGCCCTTGTTGATGTCTTCACCTTTGTATCCTCTTTTAGGTGAATCACCAGATGTTTCTATATTCTCTGAAATGACTCCCTCAACCTAAAAATTCAAATAAAAGTCTGAACAATCTACACGTAGGAATCCAAAGATTAGGGCTGACAACTGCCTAATGAAGCTTTAGTAGCATAGCTCCTAAAACCAAAAGGAAGAGTGTTAGTTTACCTATACATTTACTAAATGTTAAACAACAAAACTTATTTTCTTATTATATGTGTGTATCTGTGTGTGTATGTATCAAAGTGTCCTGAGAATGTGTCTGTAGAATGTCCACACATAAGGAGATGTACTAGCACATCCTGATTTTCTATTAGTCTCGAGATACAAGTTAGAAGTGACGAAATATGAGTGAAGCCAAGAGAAGTTTTTTTCACGAGGTAAAATGTCCATCAACCGAAAGAATTTTGGAAACTATGGAACAGTAGAATAGATGACCAAGTTCTCTTTCAAGTATTCAGATTCTACAAAAAGAAACCATACATAACAACAACAAATTCATTTCAGGTTCTTCTTTCTGAAACTTAAAAAAACAAATATGGCATGACAGCGATAGCCCCTTAACCCTTACTCTCAATGAAGGTGAAGTTCAAAATTCAATCAATACAGGGTACCAGTGCTGTGGCATAGCAGGTTAAGCCATGGTCAGCAGCACCAGCACCCCATATGGGTGCTGGTTTCAGTTCTGGCTGCTCTACTTCTGATGCAGCTCCCTGCTAATGTGCCTAGGAAAGCAGCAGAAGATGGCCCAAGAACTTGGGCCCCCACTACCTTTTAAGAGATCCAGATGAAGTTCCTGAATCTGGGCTTTGGCCTGGACCAGCCTTGGCTGGTTGCAACCATCTGGGGGAGTGAACCAGTGGATGGAAGATCTCTGTCTCTCCTTCCCTCTCTCTCTCTCTGTGACTTTGAAAAAACTAAATAAATGAACTTAAAAAAAAAAAATACAATACAGAGTTGAAGACAAATCTTAGCACTGCAAATCAAGTAGTAATATTTACCGTGTCTGAATTCCCTTCCAGCAATATGTTGATAGCTTTGTTCACATCTCCATTACAGTCATGTAGGGCCACTATGCATTCATCTTGATTTTTTCCCGTCACTTCCATAAGCTAATGAAAGTATCAAAAAAAATGGTTAGAGGGAACCGAAAAATGGAACATGATATAGAGCTTCTTCTATACAAATACAAAAATTATGCAATCCTGCTACATGAAAATGGCAACGTCCAAACTGAATTTACAACCTAAGAACATGTATGTTTTCCTGTGGCTAGGTAGCCATGTCCTTTCAGTAAGACTGATAGAATTAAACTACAAATCAACTCTGCTCCAAGGTAACCATGTATCTATCAGTTTATTAATCAGTACCACATACCTAAGTATACCCCAAAACCAGGTATCTAACTACTCATGCTTCATTCAATGGCATGGAATTCCCAAACTTCGGAATTACAATATTAATGGTACATAAGTATATGCAAAAATATATTGGAAAAATCCAATCTAAATATTTTCACAGGAATGAAATTCCTTACATTAGTTATATATTGAATATCTCACATACATTTTCTCAAAGAGCTTCAACAGGGTGCTGTGTTTCAAGTAATCAAAGAAATCTCAGTCTGTTCCCTTAGAAAAGGAGACTAAGCCACTTAACATTTTCGTTAATAGAACAGACCCAGATTAGACCCAACAGGCTTCCCAAATATCATTTCAAGTATCTGCTGTGTTTTAACTACTTTTAACTATTTTAATATGTACCAGCTGAAGTTCATAAAGCTCAACTCCAATGGGGCCAGTGCTGTGGAGCAGCGGGCTAACACCCTGGCCTGAAGTGCCGGCATCCCATATGGGCGCTGGTTCTAGTCCCAGCTGCTCCACTTCCCATTCTGCTCTCTGCTGCGGCCTAGGAAAGCAGAAGATGGCCCAGGTCCTTGGGCCTGCATGGGAGACCCGAAAAAAGCTCATGGCTCCAGGCTTCAGATTGGCACAGCTCCAGCCATTGTGGCCACTTGAGGAGTGAATCAGCGGGTGGAAGACCTCCCTTCCTCCCTCTCTCCCTCCCTCCCTCTCCTCTCTGTGTAACTCTTTCAAATAAATAAATAAATCTTTAAAAAATAAATAAATAACTGTACTGCCCAATCATCCAAGTAAACTTTAAAAAAAAGTTCAACTCCAACATTTTAAAGGATATGTCTAAATTCATAAAACTAATCAACAGCAAAGCATATCTAGAACCCAGGTCCCCTGATCTCATAATCCGAGCCCTTCTCATTACACCATTCGGTCTCTCCATTTTTGTCTTGTCATTTTATCAAGTTTAACAAAAGTTGTACGAACTCTACAGATTTCTAATGCTTCAGTTTTTGACTATCTACAGCAATGTGAGATTTTTATCAGTGATCTACACTAACTGAAAGCTTGCAACATAAAATGATTAGGATGGTAAGCATCATAATGTCCTATGATTGGATTAATTAAGAGGGGGGAACTGGCCTTGATCACCTGAAATCCTAAACCAATATTCTGTTGTACTATTAAGATAAAAGGAAAGAGAATTTGTTATTTTGCAAATTTACATAGATCTCATTCAAGGAAATGAGTTCTATGATTTTTAATGAATATTTTTTGTGACGTTCCAAAAAACCTATTAGCCTGATGTTGGCAACTATAAGTAAGAACAGAGAGTTCACATAATATTTTTTTTATTTGACAGAGTTAGTGAGAGAGAGAAACAGAAGGGTCTTCCTTCTGCTGGTTCACCCCCCAAATGGCTGCTAGGGCCAGACTACGCCAATCCAAAGCCAGGAGCCAGGTGCTTCCTCCAGGTCTCCCATGCAGGTGCAGGGCCCAAGCACTTGCGCCATCCTCCACTGCCCTCTCAGGCCACAGCAGAGAGCTGGACTCGAAGAGGAGCAACCAGGACTAGAACCCAGCGCCCATATGGGATGCTGGCGCCACAGGCGGAGGATTAACCAAGTGAGCCATGGCACCGGCCCCGAGAGTTCACATAATGAAGCACTAATGTACACTCTAGGAAACTCAGTTACTGGAAGATAATGTGTTCCAAGCATTGGAATATCAGACCCTGAGGCAGAGGGCACAGCCCAATTTCTGGAATCTCAAAGGCAAAGTTAGTTACTAATGAAGGGTTCAAAATTAGGATTAAATTATCAAGTACACCTATTACTAAAGCTGTGAATGAAGACATTACCCTGACACTCAATTTTATACTTTCCCAATGAAAGTCTGGAATCACACCCACGTTTGAAATGACAATTAAGCAAAATATTCTGAGAATGTACCAAATGTTAAATATATTTTCTATGCACAGGTATATAGAAAGTGGCATTGTGCCTTCACAAATGTGTAGCCCAAAGTTCCATGTAATCACTAGTAACTGAAAAATACTCTGTGAACAGGATGAACATATCCAATTCCTTCACCTGGTTACCTTAAAGTATTTATTCACAAGTGAAAATCCAATACGTAGACATGAATGGAGACTAAGAGCCATACTTTAAAAATGAAATCCTCAGTGAAATAATTTGTTGAAGCACAGTAACAATACATTACAAACATGATACTATCCTTTTGCCAAATACACACCTGCTTAACTTTAGCTTCAAAATCCGAATCATTCTTATCAAAGATCACTTGGGCGAGGCGCATCTGTTCAGCTGTTGCCTGCAAAACACATACAATTATTAAAAACATGAGGACCAAAGACCTGTTACTTGCCAAAATCTGGGCCAAATAAGGCTCTCAAGCACTACAGCACCTCAATGAACAGAAATACTAATTGATTTTAAAAAGCTGGCGGGGAAAGAGCCTGGCATTGTGTAGTGAGTTAAGCTGCTACCTGCAAAGCTGGCATCCTATATGGGTACCAGTTCATGTCTCAGATGCTGCACTTCCAATCCAGCTCCCTGCTAACCATCTGGGAAAAGCAGCAGCAGATGGCCTGGCCTAACTGCTTGTGCCCCTTCTATCCACTGAGGAGTCGGGATGAAGTTCCTGGCTCTGGCTTCAGCCTGAACCAGCCTAGGCCATTGCAGCCATGTGGGGAGTAACTAGCAGATGGCAGATCTTTATTTATCTCTCCCTATCTCTCTAACTCTGCTTTTCAAATAACCAATCTTTTATTATAAAAAGGCAGGTGGGGTTTACACTTCTCTGTAAGACTGGTAAGTATCAAATCAAGGAACATAAAGGACCAATCCTTTGGAGAAATGGTGTAAGATTCTTCTCCTCTTCACAGGTCATAAGGCTTATCTGAATTTTCTTTCTCTTGGGGAGGCAGGGAACCAGGACAAGAGAAAGCAACAGACAATGGTGCCCAGACTCAGGCTTAGAATCAGCCCTGGCATCAAACCAAAAAAACTCTGCTACTAAAAGCAAATAAGTATCTCAGTCAGTTCTGAAGACACAAACTTATTTTTGCTAAACAGAAAATATTTGATATTTATTAAACAAAAATTTTAAAACTTTTCAGTTACACAAAAAACTTGCTGGGACCACATTTGTGGTGTAGTGTATTAAGCCACCACTTGCAACACCAGCAACCCATATGGGCGCTAGTTCAGTCCCAGATGCTATACTTCCAACATAGCTCCCTGCCACCCACACAAGAGACCCAATGAAGCTCCTGGCTTCACCCTGGCCCAGCACTGGCCATTGTGGCCATCTTGGGAGTGAACCAGCAGATGAAGAACCCCTGTCCTCACCTACCTCTCTCTAAGTCTTTCAAAAATATAAATCTTATTTAAAAAAAAAAAAAAACTTTAGTCACTATTACAGAAAACTCTCTTCCAGTAAATTTTTCAATCAAAATTCTGTTTTTTAATCAAAACACTGAATGCTTGAGGTTTCCGTGGAAATAAAAAGAAGTTAAAAAAAAGAAAAGTCATGGGGCCGGCGCTGTGGCGTAGCAGGTAAAGCTGCCACCTACAGTGCCAGCATCCCATATGGGCGCCGGTTCAAGTCCGGGTTCTCCACTTCTGATCCTGCTTTCTGCTATGGCCTGGGAAAGCAGAAGATGGCCCAAGCCCCTGCACCCACATGGGAGACTCTGAAGAAGCTCCTGGCTCCTGGCTTTGGATTGGCCCAACTCTGGATGTTGTGGCCAACTGGGGAGTGAACCAGCAGATGGAAAACCTCTCTCTCTGCCTCTCCTTTCCTATGTGTAATTCTGCCTTTCAAATAAATAAACAAATCTGGCCGGCGCCGCGGCTCACTAGGCTAATCCTCCACCTTGCGGCGCCGGCACACCGGGTTCTAGTTCCGGTCGGGGCGCTGGATTCTGTCCCAGTTGCCCCTCTTCCAGGCCAGCTCTCTGCTGTGGCCCAGGAGTGCAGTGGAGGATGGCCCAAGTGCTTGGGCCCTGCACCCCATGGGAGACCAGGAGAAGCACCTGGCTCCTGCCATTGGATCAGCGCGGTGCACTGGCCACAGCGCGCCGGCCGTGGCGGCCATTGGAGGGTGAACCAACGGCAAAGGAAGACCTTTCTCTCTGTCTCTCTCTCTCACTGTCCACTCTGCCTGTCAATAAATAAATAAACAAACAAACAAATCTTTAAAATACAAAAAATCATTCTTTTGGAGAATGACTTAATAGTAACACATCAATTTGCATTCTTAATTTTTACAAAAGTACCGATAATGACCACAGAGAAATTAGGTAAAGCATATAACGGGATTCTCTGTACTGTCTCTCCAATTTTCTGGAAAATCTAGAATTACATCAAAATAATTTTAAGAAAAAGTTACCCTTGTTAACTAAATTCTATACTCTCAATACAAATATCTTAAGAAGAATGAGTTTAGGGTAGAAAAACCACAAGGACCTAAAGAACAGCTTTTCTTTACAGCTTTTTTTTTATAATAGGCAGAGTGGACAGTGAGAGAGAGAGAGAGAAAGGTCTTCCTTTGCCGTTGCTTCACCCCACAATGGCCGCTGCAGCCGGCATGCTGCGTCCGGGGCACCGTGCTGATCCGAAGTCAGGAGCCAGGTGCTTCTCCTGGTCTCCCATGGGGTGCAGGGCCCAAGCACTTGGGCCATCCTCCACTGCACTCCCAGGCCACAGCAGAGAGCTGGACTGGAAGAGGAGCGACAAGGACAGAATCTGGCACCCCAAGTGGGACTGGAACCCGGCATGCCGGCGCCGCAGGTGGAGGATTAGCCTATTGAGCCGCAGCGCCAGCCTCTATTCAGCTTTTTAATATATACATATTCATTTTGAATGAGGACTAAGGTGCGGAGGAGGTCGCTTTTTTCCCATTATACAACACTTTGCACAAGGCCCTCACAGACCATGTGGGTGGGTGATTGCACAACCTCCAGCTGTTTGGGCCTATTTCGGCCAATCTAATAGTCAATCCCATCATTCCTATCTATGCCAGCTGTGACCCCAATTTTCCTGCTACCGTGCTGCTAAGGGACTCAGAAAGATGATTGTCAGAAACTGTGGCCACACCCACTGACAGTTTCACCTCAATCCTTCCCAGTATAAATTAAGAGTCTAACTCTCCTTGTTCCAACCTGCACATCAGGCCATCATTTCCACGACCCAGTACTGCAGTCCAGAGGACCAACAGCATCATGCCTGGATGAGATAAAAGGGAAACCCAACAGGGAAGATGAGCTCCGGATATCCGGCATTGCCATGGTAGAATTTGGGTTTGGAGTAACAAAAACCTTTTCTGAATGAAAGTAGCACTAGTACCAATACCTTCCACTCCTGCAGTCTCAAGCTTAAAAAATGGACACTATGCTCAAAAACACTCTACAGAAACACGTACACTGATCCAGCAGTAAAAGCCTACTTTCTCCAAACCTTCTTGAAAATGGGTATTCTCAATTAGAAAAAGTCATTTTAATCAGAATGTTCTCTTTAATTTCTGAAATCAGTAGTAATAGTAAACTTACAAAAATACAGGATGAATAAAATACGGTAAGATAAAGACACAACAGGGAGAGCAGTAGAGTTAAAACATTCCTATTTTATAACCAACATAATGAACATTGTGTAAGACAAAGAAGGAATATGAGTTCTAAGGAGGAATGTTTGATAAGAAGCAGCTTTTTTTTTTAAGATTTATTTTTTATTTTAAAAGTAGAATGAGGCCGGCACCGCGGCTCACTAGGCTAATCCTCCACCTTGCGGCGCCGGCACACCGGGTTCTAGTCCTGGTCGGGGCGCCGGATTCTGTCCCGGTTGCCCCTCTTCCAGGCCAGCCCTCTGCTGTGGCCAGGGAGTGCAGTGGAGGATGGCCCAGGTGCTTGGGCCCTGCACCCCATGGGAGACCAGGAAAAGCACCTGGCTCCTGGCTCCTGCCATCGGATCAGCGCGGTGCGCCGGCCGCAGCGCGCCGGCCGTGGCGGCCATTGGAGGGTGAACCAACGGCAAAGGAAGACCTTTCTCTCTGTCTTTTCTTCTTCATGTTCACTTTGGCTTGTCAAAAAAAAAAAAAAAAAAAGTAGAATGAAAGAGAGGGAGAGACAAAGAGATCTTCTATCTGCTGATTCACACCCCAAATGGCCACAACAGGTGGGGCTGAGCCAGCCAGTGAGTGGCACAGACTCAAACACTTGAGTCATCTGCTGCTGCTTTCCAGGTTCACTAGCAGGAGCTGGAATGGAAGCAGAGTAGCCAGGACTGAAGCCTGTACTCTGATATGGGATGAGGATATCCCAAGTGACAGTTTACCCTCTATGCCACAACCCTCACCCAAGGAGAAACTGGCTAATTGCATCTAGTTTCAAAGAGTCTCCCCAGAGACAGACTGTTAGTTGTTAAAAGAAACACAGTAACAAAAAATAGAGAAAACGGACAAAATCTGGACTAACAGCTAAAAATCAACAGCATCAACGAGCAACAAATCAACATGACTCCAGGGGTGGCTCTCTAGGAAATACCCAGTATCATTATGTGGTATTCCACTGGAGAGCCATAGTCTGAATCTAATCATGAGGAACCAGATAGTCCCAAACTGAAGAATATTTTAGACAATAAAATATTTTTATCATTTAAAAATACAAAGGAAATATTTTATACAATAATATATTTCTTCAAACTCGCCAATATTTAGAGTGGGCAGTAAGCCTAGTAAATAAGATACCAGTTAAGAAGCCCACACCCCACATGACAGTGCCTGAGATTACCAGTTCCAACCACTGACTGCAACTTCCGCCCAGTTCAGACCCTGGGAGGCAGCAGCTGGGTTCCTGCCAGCCCTGTGGGAGTGTGCATGAATCCTAGCTTGGGCCCTGGCCAAGGCTGCAGGGCATGGAAAGTGAACCAGCAGATCTGAGAGTGCTATCCCTTCTCAGTTTGTATCTCTTCCCCCTTCCCTCAAATAAATAAAAATTTTAAAAATAAATGAATGTGGGGGCAGAGCTGTGGCATAGTGGCTAAAGCCACAGCCTGCAGTGCCGGCATCCCATATGGGCACCGGTTCGAGTCTTGGCTGCTCCGCTTCTCATCAAGCTCTCTGCTACGGCCTGGGAAAGCAGAAGATGGCCCAGTTCCTTGGGATCCTGCACCCACGTGGGAGACCTGGAAGAAGTTCCAGTCTCTTGACTTTGGATCCGCACAGCTCCAGCCATTGTGGCCAACTGGGGAGTGAACCAGCGGATGGAAGACCTCTCTCTCTCTCTCTCTCTCTCTCTGCCTCTCCTTCTCTCT